TTTCTGTTGTTCTGATGGCCCATAAGGTGTGAGTTAACTCTTCTGCTCATAGACCGCCAGTTCTTTCAATTTTCTTTTTTATGCCGTCTGAGATTAGCTTGTTGAAGGCTTCAACCTGGCCGTTTTCTTGGGGTCGGGCGACTGATGCAAAGTAGTGAGAGATTCCTTGGTCTCCCAGCCAATTCTTGAGGGTAGACGTCTCAAAATGAGGGCCATTGTCAAAGAGCATAGACATAGGTACCCCAAACCGGGTGATGATATTCTTCTAGATGAAGGAGATGACATCCTTTGTCTTAATACCTTTGACCGCCTCTGCCTCTACCCACTTGGTGAAGTAGTCAACAGCAACTAGAATATACCGCCGTTCGCCTGGCGCGGTTGTGTATGGACCCAAAATATCCATGCCTCATTTGACAAATGGTACAGGGCTATGAATGGTCGTCTGATCAGTGGCCGGATGGTGGATGAGCTTGCCAAATCTTTGACACTTATCACACTTCTTCACCATTTCCATGGCGTCTGCTTCCAGAGTTGGCCAAAAATATCCTTGCCGCCTGGCCCCAACTGCTAGCGCTCTGCCGCATATGTGTGAGGCGCAATAGCCCGAATGTAAATCCTCCAGAATCTCTTGTCCCTTCTCATGGGTGATAGACTTCAATAGAGGATTCAAAAATCCCTTCTTGAAGAGTTCTCCTTTTTGGATCTCAAAGTTAGCCGCACGCTTTTTCATTGCAACCATTTCTAGATATGTATCTGGCAGAGTGCCGTCTAGCAGATAGGCCCGGATACCGTCCATCCAGGTTGAACTTCGGTCAAGTACTCTAATGGGATCTTCTTTAATACTTCGTTTTCCATTACTTCCCAGAAGACTAACCGAGGTGTATCACAGGAGGCGGATGATGCCAGCTTTGACATAGCATCCGCCTGATTGTTCTCTGACTTGGGTACTTAACTTAGATGAAATTCATCAAGAGTTCCAGTCTCTGTTCTGACCGCCTACAAATATTTGATCATAGCCGGATGGGTGGCCTCATAGTCACCATGGTATTGGCTAACGACCAGCTGTGAATCAGAGCAAGCGTCAATTTTCCTTGCCCCTGCCGCCTTGCACATGCGTATACCAGCTAGCAGGGCTTCATACTCAGCCTTGTTATTTAAGGCTTGAAACTTGAACCGTAGTACATATTCATATTTGTCCCCATTAGGAGACGGACATATTATTCCTGCACCACAGTCGTTCATAGTGGAGTTCCCGTCTACATACACCTTCCAAACCTGATTAAGATTTTCCGATTCAACCGGCCTTGTCATTTCAACGATGAATTCGGCGAACACCTAACCCTTCACTGCCTTCCTGGGTTCAAAAGAGATTTTAAGACTTTGCATTTCAATAGCCCATTTGAGCATTCAGCCGGATGACTCTAAAGTTGTCATTAGCCGCTTGAGGGGTTGGTTTGTATAGACCACCACCAGATGTGCCAAGAAGTATGGTTTCAACTTCTTAACTGCCATGAACAAGGCGAGACCAAAATTTTCAACTGTTGGGTACCGGAGTTCAGCATTTCTAAGGACATGGCTAATGAAATAGACCGGGAGATGGATGTCGTCTCTCTTAGCAAGGAGAACAACACTAAGGGCATAATCTGAGATAGCTAAATACATGTAAAGCGCCTCCTTGGGCAGAAGGCTAACAAGACTTGGAAAAGAGTGTAAGTGTTCTTTCAACTTTTGAAAGGCCGCCTCAGCATCATCACCCCATTCAAACATAGTCTTCTTCCTGATCGCTTGAAAGAGATAGAGGCACTTGTCACCTGACCGGCTGAGGAATCTCCCCAATGCCGCCAAACAACCGGTTAATTTCTGAACTTCTTTTATAGTGCGGGGTGACTTCATGTCAATGACCGCCCATATCTTTTATAGGTTGGCCTCTATCCCCCTTTGATCAATAAAAAATCTGAGAAACTTTCCAGACTCAACACCAAAGACACACTTCTTGGGATTGAGCATGACCTTGTGCCGCCTGAGTGTGGTGAAGGTTTCTCGGAGGTCAGCAAGATAATCCGTCTGTATTTTGGATTCGACTATCATGTCATCAATGTACGCCTCTACATTTCTTCCGATTTGACTAATGAAGACAGTATAAATCATTCGTTGGAAAGTAGCAGGCGCATTATTCAAGCCAAACAGCATCACAGTATAACAGAATAACCCCTGATCAGTGACGAAGGCCGTCTTCTCTTGATCTTTCTTCCACAGGGGTATCTGATGAAAGCCAAAATAGGCATCCATGAAACTCATCAAAGCATGTCCGGCTGTAGAGTCGACCAGGCTGTCGATCTTTGGAAGCGGGTAACTGTCCTTCGGACATGCCTTGTTCAAATCCGTGTAATCAACACACATGCGCCAGGTACCATTCGACTTTTTCACAAGAACAACTTTCGCAACCCAATTTAGGAAGTGACATTGCCGAATGAACCCGGCGTCTAACAACATTTTTACTTTGGCGCCTGCCGCTTGACTTCTCTCCTCGTTGTGATTCTTTTCTTTTGCTTAACAGACTTTTTCTTAGGATCCACGGTGAGCTTATGGACAGCGAGATTCGGTTTGATGCCTGACATCTCTTCCACTTCAAAGGCAAAAATGTCCTTGAATTCTTTCAGCAGATTGGGCAAGTCTTCCCCTAACTTTGCAAAGGAAACCGTCCGCACCTTAACAGTACGCTCTGGACGTGTATTATCCAGAGCGATAAAAAAATATGTTCACCAGCCGGTTGGGGACGGAGTTCATCTGACCGTTCCCCGGTCAGTGATTTCTATTGCTTCTCTTTCTCGACAGTCACCAGTTGGTCGACCTTTCTTTTCTTGTCTATTGCTGGTGGGGCAGGCTCTGGTTCCTTGACATCGTCAAGGTCTATTGGCTTCACATCCCTGTCAACAGCTGTGGGCTTAGTGTCTGAGAGATAGCACTCTTGAGCCGTCTTCTGGTCTCCATTTAGGGAGCCAACATAACCATCATCTCTTTCAAATTTTAGCAGCATGAGGGATGGGATAATGAAGGCCTTAAATTCGTTCAGAATTGGACGACCCAAAATGAGATTATAGGCGGTCAGCTCCTCTACAACCAAGAATTGGAAGACCATGTGACTCCCCTCTCCCTTCTCTCTCAGCCAAATGGGTAGATCAATTCGGCCGACTGGGTCCATGACTCCACCCCTAAAACCAACTAGGGGGTGAGTGACCTTGTGCATGCTGCCTGGCTTATACTTCAGCTTGGAAAGACACTTCCAGCTGATGATGTCAGACGAGCTACTGATATGTCGTGTTTTGTGTATGTTATTTGGCTTACTTTTAGTTAGTTTTGTTAGTTTAGTTGAGTATTTGAGTCCGTTTTGGCGTATTTTGGTTTAGTTTGATAATCCGATGCTTTTATGGGTAGTTTTGTTGTTTTTGATGTTTTTCACGAATAATGAAGCTAATTTGGATCCATTACGAAGCCATGAAGTTAAGCCAAGGCCCATGAAGCTTGATGATTGAAGAAAAGGCAAAATAGAGAATTTTAGAGCTAGGCACGGCCGTGCCTACTCTGAGGCACGTCCGTGCCTCCAAGCCATATGCAGCACCCTTTGTTTCGACCCTAGGCACGTCCGTGCCTAGCAGCAGGGCACGTCCATGCCCATCAGAGCAGCCAGGCACGTCCGTGCCCAGCATCAGGCACGTCCGTGCCTGGAAGACAGAAGCTGCAACAATTATGCTACGTACAGAGGCACGTCCGTGCCTATGGAGAGGCACGTCCGTGCCTCCTGGGATTCTTGTGCGCCAAGGCTTGGCCGATTTTCTTATCTTTTTAGGCTTATATAAATACTTTTTAGCCTTGTTTTCTGGGAGATTCATTAAGTTTATATTATTTTTCAATTCCTATTATTAAGAACTAGTTCTCCATTATTTTTCTAAGTTTTTGGAATTCAAGATTCAAGATTCAAACTTTCTACTTTCAATTTTATTTGAGATTTGGTATTTATTTTTCATCCTTTGTTATTTAATTATGTTTTCATTATTTATTATTGTTTTTGTTTCTTTAATCATGTGTGAGTAGATTCTTTAATTCAAGATCTAGTGTAGCCCTATTATTATTGATGCATGAATTAAATATTTAAATGCTTTAATAAATTTAACAATTGAATTGCTAAATTGATTGTGATTATGCCAATGCTAGGTTAGACGTAACTATAGTATTGCGATTATTCCATTGTTTTTATCACAGCGAGAGTTGGGTATAAACGGATTTGAGTAAATCAATTTAGAGTTTGATTCTCAACACGAGAGTAGTTGGGTTTGATAATTGGGAAGTGAGAGTAATGTGTTTAATGTCTTTAATATGCATGATACCATGAGAATAGGATTGATTGTATGTTAGGGAAGCCATTGATACTCGAGAGAGATCCTTGGTATTTATTAGGGTTTACTTTTCCCCGTTCGATTGAAATCGTATGTTAAGGGTAGAATTACAATTGCATCGATAATAATTGTGGTGAAACTAGATCTTGGATGTTTTAAGTACTTGATTTAATCATCTCATTTAGTTTATTTTCGAATTCTTCTCATACTTAGTTCCGTAGATAATTGATTATAATTGATTCTTTCTTAGTAGAAATTCGAGTCTATTTAATTATTTTTGAACCTTAGTCTCTTGGGATCCGACCCTTACTTGCCAGTCTACATTAGTATTGGTCTGTTAGGTTATTTTTGATAGGTACGTGACACGCCTACCAAATTTTGGCACCGTTGCCGGGGACTAACGGTTTCATTATATTATTTGTGATTCATTTTTGCTAGGCTTATTTCGTTGCTTCGGCTATTTTCCCTTGTGTTTTTGATACTTTTCTCTATTTTTTCTTGTGCATGCCCACACGACGCTCAGGTTCAGAAGATCTTGAACCATTTGATTCTGAGATTGAGGCAACTATAAGAAGAAGGAGAACAAGGAACAGACGCAGGAGAAACATGGTAGACCAACCAACGAAATCCCTCTTGGAGTACGGTATTCCTGATACGACTACCGGAGTCCTTTCAAGCATCATAAGACCACCAGTCACGGCTCAACACTTCGAGCTCAAGCCACAGTTCATATCCAATGATTCATTCGCAGGGCTACCACATGATTGCCCCGTAAGTCATATAGATAGCTTTTTAGAGAAATGTGATACTATGAAGTTGAATGGTGTTACAGATGATGCAATCAGACTACGCCTTTTCCCCTTCTCACTTCGAGACAGGGCAAAGGAGTGGTTAAGAGATGAAGGCACTGGCTCGTTCGATACATGGGACAAGTTAGTGAAGGCCTTCCTAGTGAAGTTTTTAGGGAATGAGAAGACTACAAGATTGAGGAATGACCTACAAACTTTTAAGCAGTCAAATGATGAGTCTCTCTATGAGGCTTGGAAGAGATTTAAAAGATTGCAGAGACAATGCCCTCACCATGGCATTCCAGATTGGATTTTGATGCAGACCTTTTACAATGGCATGACTCATGAGTTCCGTATTTACATAGATGCTGCGTCAGGAGGTTCTCTCTTGACAAAGAACCCCACTGAAGCTAGGGAGCTCATAGAAAAGATGGCGGCCAATGATAACTATCATCCTGGAGGCCGAAACACTGTGAAAAAGGGAGGTAAACTTGATGTTGATGCTTTAACTATGCTAACTAGTTCTGTGCAGGCACTAACAAGCAGGTTTGATAAGTTCCAAGTTGGAACTTCTAACACCCCACAGGAGTTGTGTCAGTTATGTAATGTGTAGGGTCATGTTGCTCCAGATTGCCCACAGATTTCGCAGAATACGGAAGAGATGTCAATCGAGCAAGCCAATGCTTTCTACTCCTCTAACCCAAAGAGACCTTATGACCCTTATTCCAACACCTACAATGAAGGATGGAAACACCATCCTAACTTCTCATACAAAAATTCCCAGGCACAACAAAACCCTCCACCACCACCTCCACCCAACACCTACAACCAACCACCACCTGGTTTCCAACAGAAAACACCCAATGCCCACCAACCAATGCAACAACAACCTCAGAAATCAAGCCTAGAGGTGACATTAGAGAGCTTTATAACCGCAACAAACAGTGCCATCCAACATCTAAATAGCTCTATCCAACAGCTGCAGGCTCAGGGTAAACTTATGGAGAATCAGATAAGCCAATTGGCCAACCAATTTAGCCAAGCCCTAAAGACTCCAGGAACCTTCCCGGGCCAGACTGAACAATCTCAAAAAGGCCAAATGAATGTCGTCACCCTGAGGAGTGGAAAGCAGTTAGAAGATCCTCCTACCAAGGAGCCATCAAGAGAGGTCATTGAAGAAGTGAGTGCAAGTGAGAAGGAAGTAGAGGATGCTAGGGTCGAGGAAGCATCAAAGGAAGCACCACTAAAGCCACCTGCTCCATATATGCCTAAGGTTCCTTTTCCTCAAAGATTAGCACAAGCTAAACTTGAGAAAAAGTTTAGTAAGTTCCTCGATGTTCTTAAAAAGCTTCATATTAATATTCCATTCCTAGATGCCATATCTTAGATTCCTTCTTATGCAAAATTTTTAAAAGATATGCTATCTAACAAGAGGAAATTAGAAGAGAATACTACAGTTGCTTTGAATGCAGAGTGCAGTGCTATTTTGCAGAACACTCTCCCTAAGAAATTAGGAGATCCAGGTAGCTATTCAATTCCAGTGAAGCTTGGAGATATTGAGATCAACAGGGCACTATGTGATCTAGGTGCAAGTGTGAGCCTCATGCCACTGTATATATGCAAGAAGCTGCAGATGGGTGAACTCAAACCCACACGCATATCTCTACAACTTGCAGACAGGTCAGTGAAGTTTCCTTTGGGTGTACTTGAGGATGTACCCCTCTGAGTAGGTAAGTTTTTCATTCCATGTGATTTTGTTGTGATGGAGATGGATGAGGATGTGAATGTTCCTATCATACTAGGTAGACCTTTCTTAGCTACTGCAGGTGCAATTATAGACATGAAGAAAGGTAAGATTACTTTTGAAGTAGGTGATGAAAAATTGGAATACTCACTTTTGAATGTTATGGGTGCTCCTTCTATGGGAGACACTGTTTGTCAGGTTGATATGCTCGATGAGTTGCAGAATGAGCAACTTCCCTTGAATCAGAATGATGATGCTCTTGAACAAGTGCTATTAGGGAAGGAAGATGATAATGGAGATTGGCAGTCTAAGGAGTATACCAGGTTACTTGATGAAGCAAAGGCCGATCCAAATCAGAACCCGATCAGAGAGACATTGGAAGTAATGAGTGTTGCGGAGAGTTCTAAGCCTCCCGAGGTAGAGTTGAAACCCCTCCCCTCTAACTTAAAATATGCATATCTTGGTCCAAATAATTCATATCCTGTTATTGTCAATGCTGAACTCAAGGACACAGAATTGGAGCAATTGCTCAACGTTTTGAAAACATATAAAAGTGTCATTGGGTACACCATTGATGATATTAAGGGTATTAATCCTTCTTTCTGTATGCATAAGATCATTCTTGAAAACTATCATGCCTCTTCTGTAGAACCTCAGAGAAGACTTAATCCTAATATGATGGAGGTAGTTAAAAAAGAGGTTCTGAAATTGCTTACTGTAGGTATAATCTACCCTATCTCTGATAGTAAGTGGGTTGGCCCTGTACAAGTAGTACCAAAGAAGGGAGGTATGACCGTTGTCAAGAATGACAAGGGTGAGCCAGTCGCCACTAGAACTGTCACAGGATGGCGAATGTGTATAGATTATAGAAAGTTAAATAAGGCCACCCTGAAGGATCACTTCCCCTTACCTTTTATTGATCAGAGCTTGAAAGGTTGGCAAAGCATTCCTTTTTCTGTTACTTGGATGGATATTCAGGTTTCTTTCAAATTCCTATCCATCCCTGTGACCAGGAAAAGACTACTTTCACATGTCCATATGGCACCTTTGCATATCGCAGGATGCCATTTGGATTATGTAATGCTCCTGCCACCTTTCAGCGATGTATGATGGCAATCTTCTCAGGACTCATAGAAAACTCTATGGAAGTATTTATGGATGATTTCTCTGTCTATGGAACATCTTTCGATGTATGTCTTGAAAATTTGAAAAAGGTTCTCCAAAGATGTAAAGAAGTTAATCTAATCTTAAACTGGGAGAAATGCCATTTTATGGTACAACAGGGAATTGTCTTAGGTCATGTCGTGTCTAATAAGGGTATTGAGGTTGATAGAGCTAAAATAGAGGTCATAGAGCGCTTACCACCTCCTAACTCTGTAAAAGGAGTTCGAAGTTTCCTTGGTCACGCAGGTTTTTATCGGCGTTTTATTAAGGATTTTTCGAAAATTGCTAGACCTTTAACTGAGCTATTGGCCAAGGATGTCCCTTTTGTCTTTTCTAATGCTTGTCTTGAAGCTTTTAACAGGTTGAAGGAAGCTTTAATCACTGATCCAGTCATGCAACCCCCTGATTGGAGTCTGCCGTTTGAAATCATGTGCGATGCTAGTGATTATGCGGTAGGAGCCGTGTTGGGGCAAAGGAAGGAGAAGAAGCTTCATGCCATATACTATGCTAGCAAGACCTTGAGATCTGCTTAAATGAATTATGCCACAACTGAAAAAGAAATGCTAGCAGTTATATATGCTATTGACAAGTTTCATTCTTATTGGTAGGTTCTAAAGTCATCATACATACAGATCATGCAGCATTGAGGTTCTTGATGACCAAAACACATGCCAAGCCTAGGTTGATTCGATGGATTCTACAGCTACAGGATTATGACATCGAAATCAGGGATACAAAGGGACAGAGAACGTTGTTGTAGACCATCTTTCCCGTCTTCTCCTTGACCCTAAGGATGGAGATGATACTCCCTTTGATGATTCTTTTCCTGCTGAACATTTACTAGCTTTATTACAGACTGAATCCCCTTGGTTTGCTGACTTAGCTAATTTTCTCTCAACAGGTACAATGCCTCATGGCTACTCTTCTCAACAAAGGAAGAAATTTCTTTCTGAGGTAAAGAGATATTTTTGGGACGATCCATTCCTATACAAGAAATGCGCGGATGCCATGATCCGAAGATGTGTTCCAGAAACTGAGGTAAGCAACATTATTTCACATTGCCATGACTTACCCTGTGGTGGACATGCAGGCCCCTCGAAGACAATTGCAAAGATTTTGCAATGTGGATTTTATTGGCCTACGATGTTCAAGGATACCTATGCCTATGTCAAAGCATGTGATAGATGTCAACGGACTGGCACAATTTCTAAGAAGAACGAGATACCACTTAACAACATACTCGAGGTCGAGTTGTTTGATGTGTGGGGGATAGATTTCATGGGTCCGTTTCCCTCTTCTCATGGCAACCGTTACATATTGCTAGCTGTTGATTATGTTTCAAAGTGGGTGGAAGCAATAGCCACTCCAACCAATGATGCTCGGACGGTAAGTAAGTTTTTCAAGAGAGTTATTTTCCCTCGTTTTGGTTTACCACGTGTTTTAATCAGTGACAGGGGAACACATTTCACGGAGTATCGGTTTGAAGCAATGTTGAAGAAATATGGAGTACAACACAGACTTGGCATTGGCTACCACCCACAAACTAGTGGCCAAGTTGAAGTGTCCAACCGAGAAATCAAATCTATCTTGGAGAAAACGGTTGTAAGGACAAGGAAGGATTGGTCAGTTAAGATTGATGATGCGCTATGGGCATACCGAACGGCCTTTAAAATTCCTATTGGTACAACCCCATATAGACTTGTGTATGGAAAGGCGTGCCACTTACCAGTCGAGCTAGAACACCGAGCTTTTTGGGCTATTAAAATTTTAAACTTCGATGTTCAAGCGGCAGGAGAAAAGAGATTATTACAATTAAATGAGCTAGATGAGCTCCGCCTTGAAGCCTATGAAAGTTCAAAGTTGTACAAATAAAAGACTAAAAGGTGGCATGATAAGGGTCTTGTGAGAAGGGAGTTCAAAGAAGGGGATCAAGTCCTTCTTTTCAACTCTAGGTTGAAATTATTCCCTGGTAAGCTTCGGTCTAGGTGGTCGGGACCGTTCAAGATTAGGAAAGTCTTCCCCTATGGCACTATTGAGTTGGAAAACACAAGAGGGGAACCTTTCAAAGTCAACGGACATCAAGTGAAGCACTACCGAGTCGGTGATCCCATCGATGAGGGGGTGGATATCACACTCTCGTCCCCATCACTAAGCTCCTGAGAAGTCATACAGTCAAGCTAAAGACCTTATAAACAAGCGATAAATGTGAGGCAACCCATTTTTGAGTTTTTACTCTTATTTCTTTAAGCTTTCTTTATTATTTTCATTAATTTATCTTGATTTCTTTGTTTTGATTCTTATGTCTAGTTTTTGTTTTGTTTTTGGTGTTAAATTAGGTGAAAAGTAAGCAAAAAGAAGAAGAAACAAGGAGGAAAAACGCTAAGGGAGAATTGGCCTGCGCAAGGAGGCACATCCGTGCCCCTGAAAAGGCACGTCCGTGCCTCTGAGGCAGAAAGTTGGGGAGCTTAATTTCCGGAGAAGCACGTCCGTGCCTCCAACTAGGCACGATTCGTGCCTCTGACATTCGTAAAAAAAAAAAAAAAAAAAAAAAAAAAAAAACTGCATAATTAGGCACGTCCGTGCCTTTGAGGCAGAATGTTTTGAAAATTTGATTTCTGAAGAGGCACGTCCGTGCCCCCCCCCCCCCGAATAAAGAGGCACGGGCTCCCTCATTCTTTCATTCACCATTTTTCAACTTTCAAACTCAAGAGTCTCTCTCTCCTCTCCTTTCACTCAAATTTCGGCCAACCCCCATCAATTCTCACTTTGTTTCACAAATTTCTACAATAATCTTCAAGTTTTCAACATTTCTACTCAATCTCACACCCCACTACCATCAAAAACCAATCCAAACCCCAATTTCTTGCAAAATTTCAAAGACCCCTAAGTTGAAAATCAATTTGGGGCTTTTTGATTTCAGACTTCTTGGAGCAATTGGGTAGCAAGGAAAGGATTCTAAGGCGATATTTGCAACATTTGTGGATCAATTGCGGGTATTAAACACCCACCACACCTTGGGTACCCTCTAATCTTGCACTTTCTCTCTCTAGATTTTTATGTTTAATTTGTTACAAATTGTTCATAGAAATTGTTTGAGTTAGTTAGTTGTGTTGGGTTGTTTAATTTGTTTTGATAATCGTGATTAAAAGTTGGTGTAGTGTAGTTGTGAGATTTATTTTGCACTTAGTTGATTATTGTTGATAATTGTGAGTTTGTGACAAAGGTGGTTGATTAATTGACTGTTCTTTGTTCTTGAACTACATACATTGTTGTGAACTTGCAATTATGGCCTCCTCCTCAAACCAAAGAAGAAACCGCCCTAGAAACACCTCTTCCAAAAACCTTAGAACCCCTCCCGTTCCACAACCTCCTCTCGTACCACTTGCCCATATTCCACCCATTGAGACATTCGGGATTGATTTCAAGGGAAATGAGGAATACATGAAGAACTTTATTCGCCTTAGATCCCGACCTTTAGTGCCTACACGGTTATTTGACCAAGAGGCTATGGAAACCTTGGGTATGGGAGGTGAGGTCCAACGCATACTTAGCCGGCTAGGATGGAGTGGTTTCTTAGCCAAACATGCCAACACCTACTCCAACATTACATACGAGTTTCTTTCTACCTTAGAAGTCCATCGTAGACCCGACAGCCACACCCCTAGAGACGTTTCATTCAATTGTCTTGGTGAACATCACACCCTTACGGTGAGGGAAGTTAATGTCTTGCTAGGCTTCCCCACCTTTGGCCAAATAGGTAGACCAAACTACAGTAGGTTGACTGGCTACAGTGACTTTAACACATGGCGGGATTTGAC